AAAATATATTTTAAAAATTAATCACCTATACATTGTCAGTATAAATTTTTTTTATATTGATAGTTAATCAGAGCCGTTAATAATGTCTTTTCATTTACTTATTTAATTAAATTAAAATAAAAAGAATACTATTAACGGCTCTGATTGACTGTCAGTGTAAAAAAATTTACACTGACAGTATATAAGTGATTAATTCTTTTTTTAACTCACTTGTGTAACTATAAATTGCTTCCACTCATTCTTATTATAAGGCACAGTTTAAAAATAAATAATAGTTCTATTTTTAAAGTATTTTAGAATCTCTTTAAAATATTAATTTTTTCATTTTTTTTCTATTAAGGATTATGAGATTATATCTTTTTTTCTTGGATAATGAAAAAAGGATTCAAGAAATAATATATTTTTCTCACATTCCAAATTCTCTGATTATCATTTATCAATTTTATTGATACTAGTATTTTAATATATGTAATGTATAAGTTAAATATATATTATATATAACTAAAATTTAAAATAAATTATGCATATAAGTAATTAATATGTTTGAATATATAATATTTATATTATTGATAATTTATTTTATAATATTAAAACATAATTTAAAAATAATTATGATAAATAAAAATTAAATTAGATAAAAAGTAAAAGAATTTATAAAAACTTTCTCATTAAAAAATTTCTTAAAAATATTCTCGTACAAGATAGTTATTTGTATTTTATATATAGGAATTAATTTGTGCATAAGTTTTTATATAGAATAATTTTTCATTTCTTTCATGAAAATTTAATGATAAGTAAGAAAAGTAAAATCAGTACATTATAACTTTATTTTATAAATTCAATAAAATTATATATATATATATGAATGTTTTAGACTTTTACTTTTGTTTCAAAAACTTTATGATGTACGCATTTTAATTGATATTAATTATTTTTGTTAATGTATACCATTATTTGACAATTAATGTTTCTATTTCATGATTATAATTGTTTTTATTCTACATATTGAATGATATTATTATAAATTTAACATGCTAGAACTAAATATTTTTTAAAAGGTGTACAAAAATTCTTTAAAAAAAAAATTATAGTCTAGAAGGATAAATAAAGATTGAAGAAAGTATAATGTATTACTCCTTCTATTTTCTATTATAAGAAAAAAATACTTTTTGTTCTTAAATATAAACAAAATTTAATTATTTATATTTTATTTAATGATATTTTTTATAAAATATTTTTTCTTTAATACATGATTTTTCGGTTGCGCTACAAAATAATTTAGAAAAAATGATTTAATACAAATAATTAAATTTTTTTTAATATGTGTAAATTTAATTATTTTACTGATAATTCAAAATAGTGATTATAAATTTGTTGATTTTAATAATAATCATATCAAAACTAATTTTTAATTGGTTGTTGATGTAAAATTTTGCATTAACTATTCATAATTGATTAAATTCTATTATAAAAATTAACAAACTTGTTACTCCTAAAAAATTTTAATGATTTTTTAATAGTGTAAAAGAATTACACCATCAATGCTATACAGATATACTATTAACTCGTTTATTTTATTTTTTATATTTTAGTTCAAAGCATAAAGATAATATTATTAAATACTGGTTATTTTGAAGAAAAAAAGTAATATGTTTATGTCTTAATTTTATTTATGAATAAAAGATTGAGTATTTTATGTATATTTTAATATGTTCGGAGGACAACACGGTGTGTAAAAAAAAAATAATAATAATAATAATAATAATAATAAAAAGTTGTGAATTATTGTGCGAAAATGCAAATACAAGCACTCATTAATCCCAAACTTCTATTACATTCGATGTTCTCATCTGACTGTGATGACTGTTCAACTTTGTTTCCTTTCAAAAATATTTAATTCTTCATTTTCCACAATCCCTGCTGTTAGCATGCATCCTTTTTTTATATGTAAGGTTAATTGTTAATACACATTTACTAAAAAATATTTAATATTATTTATAGATTAATAAATTTAATCTAAAATATCTTTATTTAATATTTATTACCAGATTAGTTGCGAAGTAAGATATGATTATTAAATAGAGATATATGTAAAAATAATAATTAACGAGAATTAATAAAATACCAATAATTTTAAAATAAAAAATAAAGTTAACATTCTTAGTTTTTTGAATGGGGTGTAGCCTTTATAATTTTTGTAATTTTTTTATTTTCCTCTTCCTAATCAAATTTCACTTTTAAGATATTTGTGCCACTAATAATTCGAAACTTTGATAAAAGCGAAATAATTTAATAGTAGTTAAATAACAAGCATGTTGGTTTTAACTTGGTTCTCTTGAAAATATATTTTTATAAATGAATAAATCCAAACATGTACTAAACTTACATTACGTTAGTTTCTATATATAAGATATAATTTGATTGATAATAATTAATTATATATATTTTTAAAAAGTATCCTACATTATTTCTCTTTTTTAATTAATATTTATATATCTTTTAATTAATTGAAATATATGACTTATATTATTTTACTCTTTTAACTACTAATCTTCTTCTTTTTCAGTCAATTAAAATGTATTATAATTAATATATTTTAGTAAATTAAAAAAAATACAATTTAATTAACGCCCCAAGATTTAACGCGACTGCATACACAAGGCAGGATTCGAACCCCTGACCTTGCTTAAGCGTGAATCAATCCCTACCGCTGAACCACACGCTTGGAGTTATATAAGATATAATTTGATTGATAATAAATAATTATATTTTTTTTTATTTTTTTAAAAATAATTCTATATTATTTCTCTTTTTTAATTAATATTCATATATCTTATATATGACTTATATTATTTTACTCTTTTAACTACTAGTCTTCTTTTTTTTCAGTCAATTAAAATGTATTATAATTAATATATTTTATTAAATTAAAAAATACACTTTAATTAACTATATTTTACTTTAAAAATAATAAATACATGTTATAATATGACTTAAACCTTATATAAAAGAATAAATAATTATTCTTAATTAAGCCTAATAAATAAAAATAAAAGTAATATTAAATTTCTGATTTAAGTGGATATTATTTTTTAAATATAGCACTTGCGTGATTTTAATTTTTATATTTTAATTAGGCAGTTAATTATGAAGTTGTTTTTTATTACTTGGCATTTTTTTTTACAAAGATTTGTAAGAAAAATATTAAAGATTGCTGAAAACAGTGTCCTTGATTCAAGCTTTGAGAATCGAAGTATCTGGAAATATCAGCTAAAAAGTGTTGAAAATCAACAAAACGTGGATTTAACAAATTATGAAAAGATACCTTCTTAAGTACATCATTGTCATTCCACGAAACAAATCACCGTAAATAATTCAATAAGCATTAAAACAAATGTCCCTTCTATTGTGAAACAAACACGACATAGGGAATCAAGGTTTTGATCTTTTGTTGAGAAAATTATCCATATTTAATATTCAACAATGCATTGAACATAATTGTTTCGAAACAAAAGACATTTGCAGGACATAAAATATAAATATATAGCCGTTGTTAAGAAGGATAACGTCTAGTACAATATTAATGAATAATTTCTTGTCTCTAAATCTGACATACATACAGTGTTTTTGGGGCAACTTATTGCATTGAATCGATGGCCATGAACAATTATTCGGGACAAAAATTGAAGAACAAGGAAAGTACCATTCTTTGAACAGTTGTCTTGATGACTTAGTTATATTCTATGTATGTTTCCCATACTTTATTATCATCACATAAAGGACATGGTACTTATAAACAAGCCGTAAAGAGTATTAGTTCTGGTTTTAAACAACATGTTATCAATACATTGACTTTATTGTACGTGATTTTGGTTTTTTTATAAAAATAAATAAATAAATTGAACCAAATTGGATTGAGGAAAACCACTTTTGGCACGACATAGGAAGAACAATTTTTTTCCTTGTTACTATTGAATGATAAATATATAATTAGAAAAGAGATGATTTGAGAATTGATGAAATAATAATGGAGTGAAATTATAGGACGACGTTGAAGGAAAATTATTTGGAATGTATAGTATAGTTAGTGTGGGTCCAAGGCAACATGGGTTGCGCGTGGGCGTGGTCACAAGATCCAAATACGATTCACGGGATTCCTTTGGGGCACTACCCTACGCACACTCTTTATAATTTCTTTCTTTGTCGCCATATTTCCACACAAGATCCAATTGGGTGTGCATCAAACTTACGTAGCCCCTTCTCTTATTAAGCCAAATTCCAATTTTGAGCAACCATACCATCAAAAGCTAATTTTAAACTAGGCTTATCGGGAAAACAATTCATTATTGTCAGAACTCTTTGAAACAAAGTTATAAATAATACATTGATGCTACTAAATTTTATTTATAAACACTTTTTGTTTATTTTTTTAATACTATTACAATTGTTGTTTAATTCTCTCCTTCCTCCTCCTTTCTTATAAGTACTTAGAATGTTAAATACGGATCAAAACTTTATTACTTGTTATTTTGTTTCTTGAATATTATATATATATATATTTTTTTTTTTGAGGGGTTCAAATGATATCAATGTAATTTTTATCAAATTAATTCACAAAATATGGTAACCAAAGGCATGCTTCCAAAAATAACAAAGAGCTAGGGACTTATTTTATCGATTGCTTTCCAGTTTTCTACCAATAATTCAAGATTAAAAGAAAATTTCAAGTTCACAAAAAAAAAAAAAGACTAGTCTTTTTTCTCTAGCAATTGCAATATCTAAAAGCCAAATAGGAAACTTAACCAGCTTCACAACCATATACAATAATCATAGACATAAATTTAGGAGAAACAAAATTAAAGGATTTGATTCATTAGCAAACGCATCAACTAAAAGGCCATCAAAAGATAGTAAAAGAATATTCACCGGGAAATAAAGAAGGAAAAAAATGTACTCGAACAGAAATTTCCAATAAATGCATGACCAGAGGAACTATGTACCTTCCCATTTTGTGGATCCACTAGCAATCCATCTAGGTTATCTCCAACAACAGTCATAAGCTTACGGTCTGGACTGATTGACGTGTGCTGCATCAAGAGCAAATAGTTAGGAATCAGGGCAGTATATATAATAAATTTTTAAAAAGCTAATAAAAAATATCCAATCAAAACTTCATTCTCTTGGATTTAGAAATGACGTAGAAAAAATAATAGTTGATAAAAAATGTTATTGCAATAGCCAAGCTTGAAGCAAGAAAATCAATTTAAGACAATCCAACAGTACAAGTTATTTGAACGATAGAAAAACCAGTCAACTTCAATCCTCTTGGCTTTACTTGATTATGCTCCCTTTTTGTCTAATCAAGACATGGAATTTGGAACCTGGATTGTTCTGATACTTGTCAAATTTTCATGCAAATCTTATTTTCAATTCTCACTCATTCTCCTACAAGGGAACGATTTCCCCTAGATAAGTTAATTTGGAAATCCAAAGCTTCTTCTAAGGTCAATTTTTTTTTTGTGCAGCTTCAAGTCCGACTGCATTGTTAAGCTGTGAGCTACTTCTGAAATCATCTTTTTGGTATTTTTGCAAGAAATGAGTTTGTCCTAGTTGGTTCGATCAGTTTCTTCATGCTCACATTTAAGGATTCGGAAATAAGAATTAAGATGAAAACCAATACAATATGGCCATGTGTGGTTTGTCGGTGTATGCAAAAATTGGGAAGGAATGTTTGTATCTATAAGGTTGCGTCATGTCTTTCAAATTTTCTAGTGTGTGTGGCTTCTCTTTGGAGTTCAGGAATCAGCATCTAAGATATGCAAAGAGATTGTTCTTCTACACTTACTAGTTTTATAGTTATAGGACATCAGTTTTGTGCCTTTGTTTTGATTTTCTTTACCTGTTCTAAGAATTCTTATCTGGCATCTTTTGATACTATTTTCTCTTTCTATCTCTAATACAATATTTTTCTAATCAACAAAATAAATAAATAAATAAACACAGCAGTATAAGAGAGGAAAATTGAAATGAACTGAACCTGAATGGGAAAATAAATAGCCAACAGCAGTAATTGAAAAAGCAAAAGAAAATAAAAATAAATAAATAAATAAACTGCATCAGTTAGATTGCTTAGAGATGCTCACATTCACTGGCCAAGAGAACTGGAAGTTATTCAAAAGCTGAAAACTTTGTGTGTCATATTCTCTCACACCACAATCATTATTGGAAGCAATAAGATGTGTTGCGCCACTGCAAAAGTTTTGATGTTAAGCAATGTTCATGTTCCAAACTGACACAAACAAACTTGGTAAGAAAAATACCTCAAGCTTTCATATATATCAATTGCATTTGTTATAGCATTATCATCATGTGTTGTCCGTGTACAAAAGCTTACTCCCTTCTTATCCAAACGCTGCATTCAATATAGACATTATAAGCTGCATCCAACATAATCCTAATAGGATAAACAATAGAAACAGAGAGAAGTAGAGGCTTGTGTAGCAGCAATAATTCCTACTACATACCCAATAAAATGAATAAACTAATCTATGTGCTAATTAATAAATATATATTGCTGAGCTAGGCGGCAGCAAGACAGCAACAATAGGAGAAAGAGAAGAAAAATCACCAAGGTCATATAATCATGTATGAGGATTCAAGTACGGTAGTACTACATACACAAGAACAACCCATACAAAGACAACCTACATATACTGACGCCATCTTAAGCATTAGCTTGACAGTTCTTATGTAAAGAGCATAAAAAACTAATAAGGCAAGTCCTGTGAATTAAGGAAAATTTGACCCCCAAAATCAAGGGTTATTAACTAGGAATTAACCTTACGTGATTAAGTGGAGCTTGGTTGAGAAGTGTTTGTGATAGAAACAAGAAATAAGAGTAGAAATAAGGGAGAACAAGCTCCCCACAAGCAGAGGTAGCCATTTTTTAAAGTAAAAACAAGGTGATACTTTTGTAATTATTAGTAGAAATAGAGAATGAAAAACAAAATACATTTGTTTGAACCATACAGGCCTTTTGTTTTCCAAGATTCAATCTTAACTCTAGATATTACTCACCAAAGTCAAAGCTTAACAATCTTTAACAGGGAATTTACCAGAAATGAAAATCTAACAAAAATGTCTCCCTCTTTAGTAAATATAAAGATAATATAAAAAAAAAAATAAAGTTTTAATAAGATTAGAGTGAATTTAGACTCAAACTTTTAGTAACTCAAAGCAAAGGAGTAACCCTTCCCAATGCAGGCACAAACATGGGAAAAAAATGGCAGAGAAGACATAATTTCCTCATTTTAAATTATCATACTGGCATGTAAATATAATAACAGCACAAATCATGTGGACTCACCTTACAAGTAAGCTCTCCTTGAAACCCACCAGCAACAAGAAGATTATCCTTGACAGCCAATGTGCTAATCTGGGTCTGTGAAAATCCTTCCAACAAATTTCCTGCATATCTCTACAAGACCAAAGAATGATAGTTATGTAAAGCAAAGGAATTATAAATGCATGCTCAAGTAAAGCATTATTGAAGCAATTTAAGATTGTGTTCTTCTATACAATTAATTATAATTAACAGTTGTAATTGTAACTAAATTGTTTACTCAAATGAACCATGTTATCTTCTCCAATTCATTAACAACACATGCATATTGAACAGCTGTAGATTTCTAACGATAAAATAATGTAGATTCCACATATAAGTCTTGCATTAATAAAGCATGAAAAACACAAATAACACTCATCTTCTATCTTTATAATAGATAAAAAGGATGTGTAAGAGAATGCATTACCTCAGTAGGGGCCACATGCCCTGCAAAATTGATTATCTCGGACAAATTACCACTTAACGATGACCAGTGATTAACTGAGTAGTTGGAGATGAGGTAGACATCATGTTTTGAAGTTGCCCATACTAAGTTTCTCAGCTGCATCCCACAAAACAAATGTCATTAAGCTAGATTTTTCTTCTTCTCTTCAGTAAAAATCTTTAGGGCTGAAAATTAATAAGAAAGCACTCAAACCTATTATGTAAGACCATAAACTATACAGAGAAACATTACTTCTGTGTTCAATGCAAATGGACACATGCTTGTTTTATATACAACAAAACAGCCTCAATCCAACTTCTACAGTATCGTACAGTCAACGGGTTAGACAACAATGTCAAATTGAAGATTCTCCGGTCCAATCTGTTTTCCTCAATTTCCATGAATAAAATTAGTGTATAAGAAGTACAGGCACGCCGTTTTGGTCAAATACATAAGACAGGCAACCACCAAAATAACATACATCCAAGCACACACGAGTTAGCAACTGCTTATTAGCCATACAAAACATACAAAGGAACAAGAAGAAAATAGCTAGGTGCATGAAGCATGTGAAAAGTCAACAAACCTGAAAATGAAGGATGGTAGGCTTAACCATTCTTGTATTATAGAAGAATTCATAGTAATTTCCACCCTTCTCCATTTGCTTGCACTCCTGGGACCCCAAATAGATAAATAAATAAACAAACTTTGAACATCAAAACATTAGTCAAACAAATTCTGATGCTATTTCCCTGCTCCCCAACAACCCCAAATAATTGACACAAAAAAAGAGGCAAAGGTTAACACAAAAGGAAAAAAAAAAAAAAAAAAAAAA